TCATGTGATTTTTAAAAGGCTTTAAATTAGTGTAAATAATCAGACTCAGGGACACCTGCTGAACAAGTACAGCTTTTCTCATCTTCAGCCTGCGTCTGCATCTTGGTTCGTCCTCCTACATTAAAGAATGTCCCTGCTTTTGAATGGTGGCTCTGCTCTTTGTGCCCTCAGACTCAAGAGTCCTCAACTCCTTTGTTCAGTGTGATTTATGCCTGGGAAACCCTGCAGCTTTTCTTTTTTTCACTTTATAGCATTTTTGGTGAGTAGTTATATAACACAAGCCCTAAACCATGGTGAGAGGTGGTTTAGACTTAAAGTTGAACCACAGCGTACCTGGCCAACACAGGCACTTGTACTGATTGGTCCCCTCCAAACATGTGGCTCCGTTCTGGCAGGGGTCAGAAGCACATTCAGGAATATCCTCTTCACAGTAGTCGCCTACAAAGCCTGTCCCCTCACAGTCACAGACATAGCTAGAAGAGACAAGATAGGCAGTCTTAGACTGATTGAGCAAGTCTATCATGCTACACATTAGATTACTGTTGCACTGTTGTAGCTGCTTGAGAGAGCGTGCATTTTAACCTCCTAGGACCTGCTGACTGTGTGGACATCACATTTTGGGGTGTTTTGCTCTACAAGATATATACATTACACTGCCACTGTTCAATCGAAGTTTAAAACCAATGTCCTCAAATGTGGATCTGATTTTTCTCAGAAACAAAGACCAGGTTAAAAAAATGTTGTAATTCTTTGTTTTTACATTCATCAGGTTCCAATCAACCCAAAAGACAAAGAGAAATTAAAAGTGCTGCCATGGAAGAGTTCGGGTCTGAGGAGGTTAAGATGAAAACTTCCCACTGGGCTCCAAGTATCTTGTTTTCTCCGCTTGACCTCAACATGGTACACAAAACACAAATATCAGTGAAATTGTAAAAGATTTAAAAGTGCATCCTCACACGTGACAAGCTGAAACAATGAAATGTTATGTTTTGATTTATTTTTATTATTATTTTTACAAAAATATACAAATGGAAACAATGTTTTGTTGTGTAATTTCTAATAATTACATTTGAATAATACTACAAATGCAGATCAAAGAGTTTTAGTATCAAAACCACTGACTTGATTTCTTATAAATCTTTTTTCAGCTATAAGAAAATTCATTTTTTTATTACTCTGACAAAATAATAGTTGCAGCTGTAAACCCTCATAAAATAATAAACATGTCCCTGTGATGCTAAATGCAACTTAAGTACAGGCCAGTAAAGCAGCTTCTCATCAAAAAATCTATTAATTTAAATAATGATTTTTCTATGATTTTGTGTCTAAATGATGTTTACTCATTTGATTCTGACTCAGTGTAAGATTTACATACTGATGCTTATAATGTGAAACTGCTACATCCTTTATCTTCTTCACTCGATGCTGTTAAAACACATTTTACTGTCCCAGGCGTTCACAGCACCTACAGCTGTGTGATGACTGTGACAGACAGTAAGAGGATTAATTCCTGTCCTTGATCAACTTTAATGTCTGCCGTGCAGACACAACACAGACTGACACAGTGGCCTTACCAAGCACCTGT